ATCAGGTGAATCAGTCTGTTCTACGTCCGACCTTACACATCGTTCAATGCAGTTGTATTTCCAGTACTACTACACGACGGCACCTCCACAGCCGATGGCTCCTCAACCGGGTGTCTCCTATCAGTACACCGGAGGTTTCTATGCTGAACCATACGTGATGGCCTCAACGCCTTCTCAAGGTGCACAACAAGTCATGATGCCTGTTGGTGAGTTCGAATAATGTCACCCTTTTTCATGAAACATGGAGTGGGACTGATGCCGGATGTTCGTGATCCTTCCTGTCAACCTTTGTCTTCACGGCCGGGCATTACTTTAGCTTACTGTTTTTTTGCTCCTGTTAGGGCCTCTATTTCCGTTGAGAAAATAAGTGCTAGAAAATTTGCTTTTTCTGTGCATGTTCCCTATGATGAGTAGGTAGAAGACGTCCTAATTCTGCATCGAAAGAGACCAGAATATCGGGAAAATCGCGACACTAAGTGGATAGGTATCGCCCGGGAAAAGTATAAACCCGCAAGAAATTGATACCTATCGATTAGTCCACCCAGGACATCCCATTTTCACTCCATCGAGCTTCGAGAGCGATAAAGCGGCAGTTCTTCAGCCGAATTAAACAGATATCTAATCCGGGCGCTCATGTCCTTTGGGGGGGGGGGGGACATCCAAGTGAGTGAGCCAATTACTGTGCTTGGGACTAAGCCTCAGGGAGGGGAAGGGATTCTGTGGGAGCATGTGAGCAATTTGTGTTCTCCCTGGCGTTTCTCCCTTAGCTGGGCTTAGTCTTATGTAGTCTCACCTACTATCGGCTTGTTTCGAATGTCCCCCAAGGACATGAGCGCTCTTGTCCGATCTGATTGGTATCCAGCCCTCGGAAAAGGTACATTCGATTCTGCTGAATTAGCACCGGTCTTCTGAGGATTCCTCGATTTTATTCTAACTTCACCGACTCAGCAAATCCACTGGCATCTTCTGCGATCTTCGGCTTCCGAACCATCACGGTAGCATGTAACGGATGTGCAAAACTCACTGCGTTCTACGCTAGCGCATTGATGAATTCAACAATTAAGAAGTTGGAACCAGTTTCATTCTGCCCTAGTGGCGATGCTTGAGTGGGTTACGACTAGGGATTCAGAAATCAGGAAGTCAGGACCATCGTGCAGACCATCCCGTTCAACTGAAAGCATAGCCTGCAATGTTTTGGGTATACGCTGAGAGTGCACTGGATCGTTCATTAAGAAAAACACTGTGGCTTCGAAGCTGATAGCGACTGACATCGAAAGAGCGACAGTAAGGGACGCCATCAGGAAGGACTGGTGAAACCAAGGCCACTACAAAAGATGATTTGGAATGGAGAAAGTGGCGACTGATTAGAAGAAGTGGATTCGGTGACGGAGGGGAATTGAGTAACGAAAAATAAGAGGAAGAAGGAGATGTGGTCTCAATCTGCTTGCGCCGTGAATCCCATCCAATGAATGCTGCCACAACCCGTGGGAGTATATACCGGGTGGAGAAGCAAAAAGACTTGTTCGCTGATGGATTGTATCACGCTGAAGGACGGTTACGCCGCACAGGGTGATGGGTACGTGAGACCACAGAGCGCTTGACAGCCGGCTTGTTTTGCAGGATCAAGTAATGACAAGCAAATGTGCTTGATCCACGGTCTTGAGAAAGTTGTTCATGGGTTGTGGAGGGGGGCTCGCTTCAAGAAATCACGCATCTCCTTCTGTGAAGCCAAATGGCTTTAGATGTTTTAACTCGTTTGCTAGTGGAAGGAGGGCCAATCATCATGGTCTAAGGAACATGAGGGAAGACTTTGTTTTCTACGTCGGGGAACAATTTTTCCAGGAAAAATATTTCGGAACTTTGGTCATGTACCTAGTCTAATCTTGGGCGGCATTCAGTTTATTATTTCGTGCTAACATATAGATTGATCGCTTCTTTGTAACCTGAATTTTTGTGGCAACAAGCCGTGTGCGTCCGCGTCTTCGCAAATGAAGTGAGGTTGCGGTCTGGTAACGGTCTCCTCGTTTGACCGTAAGGAAGGAAGATAGCTTCTAGGACCCCGACCAGTTCTCCACAAGAGAGAACTGTGTTATCTGAATCAGAAACCTTGGCGAACATGCAAAGTCCAGTTGGCTATAGTGACTATCAGTAAAGCGGATCTACTGAATAGGAGGATCCTACTGTTTTAGGCCATCCTGGGTTCATCTACATGCCGCCGCCAAGCAACCCTGTTTTCTACTCGGTTCCAACAGCTGCTCCTGCTACTGCTACAACGGTTCCATATTCTAAGTAACACCAGATGTATTCGTGCAACATCAGATGCAACTTCCACAACCGATGCCACCACCGCAAACTGTGCTGCCTGCTGAAGGTAAACTTCTTTTCTGTTTCTGCACTAGACACAAAAGAAGAAAAAATCAAGGCAACCAAACAGTTGACGAAGTAGAGGTAGTGAAATAAAGCGACAACAGAATGCGCAAGTGGTACGTGAGGATGGAACATGGATGAGTGTAGTGGAGGATGGAGGAGAACATCACAATACCACAGTTCATCCCGCAGCAGAGTCATTGTTATGAGGGGAGAGCTTCGGGATGTGTCATTCAGTGTGCTTGTACAGTTCACCACGCGGTCAGATGAGGTAGAATCGTTTTGCCTGTTTTCTTTCCATCATGATCCCACTTTTGGATCAGCTCATTTGCTAATGTTATTGGTAGATTACTAACTAGTGATGAGAGAAAAGGATGCACGAGAGATACGTGATGTACGGCAGTTCGCAGTGTGTCATTGAGTGCCAGTAATGTCGAGTAAAGCCGTCTGCGATGGATTTAAGGTGTTGCGGGGATGCATTCTTTTGCTTGATTTTAAAGTTTCGGACATCTGGAAAATGGAGGTTTGCAGCGACTATCACTTTGAGGAACACAGACATCCGCTAGTTTTGAGATAAGATGAGGTCGTCTCTTGAACTTAAACCTTATATAACGCGGTTAAAAATGAGGGAACAGGATTGGTGCACTGTGTGCTTCCTTTCTTTCCTTAATAACTGAGAAAGGTTGCCATCTACAACGGTTTCAATTCAGTTCCAATGAATAGAACTAAGTCAGCTGTACGTCCTTTGAGCACATCCACTCCGTTACCTACAGAATTCGCAATCCCACCACCGATGACAAATCAACTGCCCTATGCTGGCAACCTCAACGTCGCCCATCTGAAATACCACAGGTGCTTGTTACTTAGTCATTTAGTTTTTTGTATTCCGTTTCGGGGTTTTTAGTCGTGGTACATATTTTTTAAAATATGTAATGTTAAAGGAACATGGAACAGGATGATGTGCTTGCGAATTTGTCAAAAATTTCAATTGTATCTGAAGAAACAGTTGGCGGAGAAAATGACAAAGATGTAGAGGTACGTCGATGTAGCGGTACTCCATCGCCTGCTCGATTTTGTGAAGCTTTTTTCTAGCAGCGACCTCCTCGTCAGCGGCGCCCACCGCCCGTGCCATTTAATTATAAAACCAGAATGTGCTTAACGTACGCATCAGGAAAACAATGTGAAATGGGGAGTCGCTGCAAGTTTGCGCATGGTCCAGAAGAACTTCGTGTCGCCGATGCGGTGAGTTTCCAATTATTCAGTAGAGCTTCGTTTAATTTTGCACTGTGGTTTTATTGAAGCTGTTTTGCCAAATTTTGTCACCGTTTCCTTGATGAGCTCGACTGCGGTTTCTTTTCTGCAGTCCTAGTGGAGTATTCGGAGAAGGTGTAATTAGTAGCGAGTGGGAGGAGGGAGAAAGAGCACAGGGGTAGCATCGTGGCGAATAGAACCCAAGGTATTTGAAATCAACAAAGAAAATAGTAAAGAAACATTTTCATTTTGTAATAAAGAACATTTTCATTTTGAAACCCTCCTAGACCTTTTTCTTACACCAGGAATCGGTCCACCCCTCGGGTAATCCTCCACTGCAAAATAGACTTGATGTTGC